TTAATCCACGGTGCTCAGGCCTGCTTTTAATTGTTTTTGGTCATTCTTCTAGGTCATATAGTGGCCTAGTGGGCAGAAAATGATGCTACCAAGCCAAAGGTGGGTGACTCTAATCTGCGGCCCTCAGTCCTGTCTCTAATTGTTTTTGGTGAAACATTCTTCAATGTCATATAGCCCTGGTCTGTCCACTTGCTATACAGAGAAGTAATTCATGGTTGCTGTGAAGCTGAACACTGTGACACTGATGTGACTAATGCAAGAATGATTACCCATGGTGGACAGTGTTTGGCAGAACTCCCCGATTAAAACAAGCTTGGAAGCAGAAGTGGCATCCACTTCTGAAATAGCTTGCCTCTGGAAACCCTACGAACCTGGAGAAAAGACGAAAGTTCTACAAGTGTTCAGGTCTTTCATTCATAGGGTCACTATGAGTCACCTATAACCTGATGGCATTTAACAACAACATACATACATATATATATAAATACCTACATCTGTAATCACTAATAAATGTTGGCCTTTTATGCACTTACCTTTTCTCTGACTTGGAAGCAGGAGTGACATCTACTTCCTAAACAACAGGCCTCTGGTAACTATGAACTTTGATAAATGACGATAGTCCTAGAAAACGCTTCAGGCCTTTTGTTCATAGGGTCGCTAAGAGTCATGCTCGAATCAACAGCAATCAACAGCAACATATTCATAGCGGCGGTATTCACAATAGACAAATTGCATAGGGAAAATCTTCTGTCATGGACCTCTCCAGAGTGCTGAAAAGCAACAATGTCAGTCTAGAGACAAAGGTGCTCCTAATCCAAGCCATGGTCTTCTCAATTACTTGTTATACTTCAGAGAGCTGGACAATGACTGAGGATGAAAGAAGAATCAATGCCTTCATATTGTGGTGCTGGAGAAGAGTCTTGAACATACCATGAACTGCCAAGAAAACAAATCGGTCTAAGAGAGGGTAAAACCAAGTTTCTCCTTGCAAGCTAGAATTTTGAAGCTCCATCTTACATACTTTGGGCACATTGCAGGGAAAGACCAATCCTTGGAGAAGGATATCATGCTTGGAAGGGTGCAGGGACAGTGCAGGAGAGAAAGTCCTCAGATAAAATGGATTGATAACAGTATCTGGGGCAATGGGGGTTGGTGTATTTGAATTAGTGAGACTGGCTCAGGACAGGAAAGGGTTCAGACCTGCTGTACATAGGGTTGCTATACATCGCAGGCGACTCAACAGCTCATAACAACAACAACAACAACATACGATATTGGTTGTTTTTTATTTAAGCCTCTTTTTTAGAGTCAACAAGACCTTGGGCAGGGAATTTGTATTTAAAAGTCTGTTGTTATATTTTGGAGGAAGATTCTTCTAAGTGGTCTTCTGTCAATATGCTGTACTGAGGTAACCTGGGTTGCTGTGATGCTGAACCTTGTGCCACAGTGTTTGGTGGAGCTCCCAGTTTAAGAGAAGTTTGGCATCCACTTCCTAAACAATAAGCATCTGAAAACTCTATGAACTTTGATAAATATCTATAGTTCTAGAAAGGCTTCAGGCCATTTGTTCATAGGGTTGCTATGAGTCGTGTTCAACTTGAAGGCAATCAACTACAATAACAACATTCATAGCAGCACTATTCACTAAAGCAAGAAAATGGAAACAGCCAAAGCACCCATCTACAAATGAGAAATTGTGGTACATTCACAAAATGGAATATTATGCAGCTCTAACTAAGGAGCGCAGATATCCTAGTGGTAAAAAGTTTTGCTGCAATCCCAAAGGCACGAGGTTCAAACCTGCCAGCTTCTTTGTAGAAGTATGGGCAGTCTCCTCCTGTACATTTACTGCCTCTGAAAACGCACTAAAGGATCTACTTTGTGTTGGTTCTCATTCCATGGCACACAACACAAGAAGGACAGTGATTACATAAAATACAACATGGGAGAGTCTAGAGAGCATTATGCTGAGTGTGAACTAACTCGGTCTCGCAAGGACAAATACTGCATAAGTCCATTATTGTAAAAATAGAAGGATAACTAGTAAGATGTATATAAATGTCAAAAAAGATTAAGGGGGAAGGGTTGAAATCACTGGGATAGCAGGGTAGTGGATGGATTAGGAGAGTGAAGGGATAGGAAAGATACAGTGGGGACTCAAAAAGGCAAGGTAGTAATAGGCATAGGTCAATAGTGATTAATGCTATAAAATGCAGTGTATAAATAACTGGATGAAATACACACACACAAAAATAGATCATTTTCTAGATTTAGGTTGCTTTGGTGGCTTAGTAGTAAGGAGTTTTTCTACCAACTTAAAGGTACACTGTTCAAATCTACCAGATGCTCCTCAGAAGAATAATGGTACTCCTGTGAGATGTACAGCCTCTGGAAAATCCATTGGAGAGTCAGCTATGAGTTGATTCCAACTCAGTGGTACATAACAACATTCTAGATTTTAGCCTAATAGCAGTAGAAAAGTTCTCTAAAAGTGCACTTAACTCTGAGTTCTTGCTTTTAGGGAAATATTAGCATATTAAGAAAGAGTGACTATGAGGATAAGAGATCTAAAGTTTATATCATATTTGAAATACTTAGTCCAAAGATTTTAAAGAAAAAATTCGTTATATAGTGCATGAAGAAATGGGAGGCAGATCTTGCCTGAATGTGAGAAACAGCTTCCTAATCCCCAGAATTAGTCGTGGATAGAGTGGGACTGCCTGAGAACCCTGTGACTGGGAAGCAGAGTGCAGAAAAACGCTGCAAGCCTCCTGGCCAGGAAGCTGCAGCCAGCTTTGTTGCCTTTGGTAGGGGTGGTCTTGTTGGGGTGTTTGTGTTCTACTGGTCTGTGCTTCTCTTACCCCAGTGCTGTCAATCAGATTATATATATCCCTTCCACACCATGTAACAGATTTATCAGATATTTGTCTTTGGCTCCACAATCAACACTCTTGGTACCAGCAGCCAGGAAATTAAAAGACAAATTGCATTGGGGGAAAGTCTGCTGTCAGCGATCTCTCCAAAATATTGAAGAGTAACGTCGTCTGTATGGAGACTAAGGTGCGCCTGATCCAAGCCATAGATAGTCTTTGCAATTACTTGCTGTGCATCAGAAAACTGAACAATGACTAGGGGTGATAGAAGAAAAATTAATGCCTTTGAGCTGTGGTGCTGGAAAGGAGTATTGAATATACCATTATCTGCTAGGAGAACATACAGGTTTGTCCTAGAGAGGGTGAGACCAGGCTATTCCTTGGAGATGGTAAGATGGGCACAGGATAGAACAGGGTTTAGGGCTATTATACATAGGGTTGCTATAAGTCTCAGGCAACTTGATGGCACATAACAACAATCATGAGACATTGTAAAAATAAATTTTTTAAATGAAGTACTCAGTAGTGGTATTCCTATTACTATATATTTGAAGTTGCATGTATTGAATTACATGATTGCCAGATGCAAGCAAGTCCTACTACTTGTTGATATGAAGCAGTCAACATTCTGCAGGTTTCCAAAGCTGTAAATTTAATAGGAGATTACCCATCTTTCTTCTGTGGAGCAGCTTGTGAATTTGAACCATCAGAGAGGTGTAGCCTTTGAGTTAACAGTACAGCTCTTTATGGACTGTTGTTGTGTATCATTGAGTCAGAACTAACCTGTAGTTGACCCTCCAGCAGGTTTTCAGAGCCAGTAAATCATTTGAGGAGAACAGCCCATTTTTTTCCCACAGAGCAGCTGGTACATTCAAACAGAGTACCTTTGAGATGACAGTACAGCTCCTCACCACCACTAAGGTACCAGAGCTCCCTAGCCTACCAGAACTCCTCCCTAGTTTGTAAGCAGAAGCGTCCTTTCAAGAAAAGAAGAAAAAGCATATTCCGAAAAACTCCAGAATAATAAGAAAACTGACTACATAAGGGATATTTTTATCTTTATGTGTAACTAGGAAGACCAAAGATAAAAGAGGAATTGGATGTTTTTCTAGGGGACATTTGGACATCATGCATTTAACATTTTCATTTTAATGGAAATAAACAGCAGGCAAGAAAGTGTTTAGTATAATAGCCTTTAACACCCTTTTAACAACCCCCTGGTGGCACAATGGTTAAATCACTCAGCTGCTGACCACCAGCAAGTCAGCTGTTTAAACCCACTAGTTCCTCTACAGGAGAAAGAAGAGGCTATCTGCTTTTGTAAAGATTTACAGCCTTTGAAATCATAGCAGGCAGTTTTACTCTGTCCTACAGGGTCGCTTTTCAAAATCAACTCAACAGCAGAGGGTTGGTCCAGTAGCCTGTAATCTGCAATTAGATAGGGAGTTGAAAGGCAAGGAGGATTGGACTTAATTGTGAGTGAAGTGATGGATGGAGCAGAGTTCTCATTTGGAATTGGAACCGTGAGTAGGAATAGTCTCCAAACCATGTGAATCTGGAGGAGCAGCTTGAGAGTAGAGAATGACAGAGATCCAAGCACTCTAGGACGGAGTGCTGGTGGAAGTTTCCGCTTCCTGGGCAAAAGCTAGGATGCAACTGTCCTACTTTTCTTTCTCCTATGTGCACTCACTGATTTGCTTTGTTGATAGAGAGGAAAGGAACATATTCTGCCCTGTGATCTTGTGTAAATGGATTCCTAGGGATTTGAATTGACTTAGCATATACATTTCAGAAAATGAGTCCTGTCTTTCCCTTAAAACAGGTTTATTTGTTAGACTTGAGCTCAAAATATAGTTTCCTTCTTGGTCTTCACCATCATCGTGTCTATTTTAACGTGGTGAGGTCGAGTGAGATGAATGAGTTGAGGTGTTAGGTATAGAGGAAAGTGACAGCAGAATGCTGAGTCAAAAAATCTGATTGCAAACCCCAAACTGTTGCTTGGCATATGGGGCATAATGATCTCTGCAGGAAGAGATGCAATTCTGTGGGCACTCAGGCTTCACTCTGAGGTCTGTCTTCATGGACTAATGCATCTCTTGTTGATCTTTCCTTTTGGGAACAATGCAGCAAGCAAAGGCTACCAAAAGAAAATGCCACACACCCAGCGAGGCTACTCCAGTGAAGCGGAGGCATGAAACACCGTTTTCCCCCGCCAAGAAATCTGGTATTACAAAAACTCAGAAGACTTTTAAGGAAAAGGCACAAAAATCATTTTCTCCTAAGAAGTACTCATCTGGCACCGGTAATGTAAAACAAGAGGAGAAACCATGTATTAAGACTTCATCTTTGTTTAAAAACAACCCTGAAATTCCAGAACTTCCCAGGTATGTCCAGGTATAGATGCACTTTAGGGATAAAAGAAATGAAATGTATTCTGGCCTTTTTGCATTTTGGAGCTGATGTCTGGATTTCTGTTTACCATTTGTAGACCTGCAGTAAAGCAGGTGCAAGAGAAAGTGTTTACCTCAGATGCTTTTCAGGAGCTGGACCTCCACCCACATCTGGTAAGTTATGTCTCAGTCTGTTCACTCATTCAGCATGCCTCTGAAATGATAGTTCTAGGAAGAGAAATTAAAGAATGGTTATTTCTGCTCTAACGTAACTGAAGGGACTCGAGTTGATATGGAACTCTTCTGGGCAACTTAAGTTTGTTTAGGTTATTTTGCACTATCTCCTCACACTTTGTTGTTGTTTTATTTAAGAACTAAAGATTTTCCTTTAGGGCTGTGACTTCACATACCAGACTTAAGATAGCCTGCTAAGGCATTGAGATCATTTTGGTGGTAGGAATTACAGGAGAGGAAACTGTACTGATACCTTGCTGTTAAGGAATGCAGAGGCTGTTGTAATTCACATTTTTTTTAAAACTAAGGTTTTTTTATTGGTTAATTTACAAAGTTTGTATACATTGTATATTCACATTGTGTTTCAGACAGTCATTCTAATTATATTTTATATAATAAATTACCCCTGGACCTTGACTGTGATTACCCTGTCTTTACACCTGGATCCTTCCCATTTCCTTCCTTCCCTCCCTCCACCCACCAAATTGTGCAACCCTGTGGTTTCACCCCTACCCAGCTTCAGCCATTCCTCCCCTAAGTTTCATACATGTTTTACTAGTTACCCTATTTTTATAATAATAATCTTATGCAGTCCTTATATTTTATATAAATAAATGGATACTTTTTTTAAACTATGAGGTTCCAAATGTCTTATTGGTAAAGAAGGAGAATACACTTTCAGTTATTCTTGATTTTTTTTTTTCTCATGCAGTCATAGTTTACACACCTCTTGTTTAAACATAGCTTTTTCCCCTGGATGACTTGTAGCGGCTGTCCTGAACATTGTAGGATATGTCCTTTATGTCTTTTTATCATCTCACTTGTTAGGACCAAACCAGACATTGTAATCATTCCATTTCCCCCCCCCCTTTTTTTTCCTTATTGCCATTAAATATATTTTTACCAAAACCTGAAAAGTTTATATATATATATTATCTTTTAGATTTCCACAATAAATACAGTCCTAAAAATGTCCAGTATGACCAGGTAAGAATTCCAGACCATTGTTACTTTTCTTAGAGCTCATGTATAGTCAGATGAAATTCAAATTGTCAGTGGAAGAGCAGATTTTTGTCTTGGCATTGGGAAAAAATGCCTGCTGTTGACCACCAGAAGCTCAGAATATCACTTAGCCAATCAGTGTTCCCATTTTCCCTGTTCAATGAAGTAACTATGTCTCCATCCACTTCTGCTATTGGAAGAGTATCAGTATAAATCTGTGTCAGAGATTTCTGGTCCAGAAAAAGGTCTGCATAAGATCCCACTGTTGTCCGTGCTTCCCTGAAAAGAATTACTAATGATTCTTGGAAAGTAAAATTAGAGTAGTAAAAAGTATAAAGAAGAGATGAGCCCTTTTTTTTTACTGAATATGTTTCCATGAATTTTAATAATGAGTGCTTTTCACTTCTGTAATAAGAATATTAGAAAAAAATAAGGATCCCTTTTACCACTAATAAAGGTTTTTTTAAAATTAGCAAGCTGGTTAGTGAGTCTCACACTTGCCTTAGCATTTTTAATTAAGGACCAGAAATTTACTTGGAGCTTCAGTCTTTTGATGATTAGGAGTTTCTCACCACTCTCACTTGAATGTGGTGGCAGTTGATAGACAAATCAAAGTGTGGCAGGTGCATTTTTGTCTGTCCTATGTCTCTACTTGTAAACACAGCTGAGTAAATGTTTTCTCTTTTGGATTTGCAAGTGTTCAGAAGCAAAGTATTCCTGCATTACTGGGAGGCAGAGATGCTCTTGTGAGATCGCAGACAGGTTCAGGTCAGTTATCATTTCATTTCCTGATTTCTCAGATACGCAGACCTCTGATTACAGAGTCAGGTATCCATGTCTTGAGGAGAGTATGGTGTGTTTTGTTTTGTTTTTAATTTCAGATCACTGAGATTATTCTCCTAATGAAATAAAGGATGATGGATGATACCGTATCAGAAAGTCATCACCTTTTGCTGTTTTTCTTAGGAGGCTAAAGTCTTTGCCAAGTCTCAGTATCTATGACCAGAGCTGCCTATCCTCACTCTAGTGGAGAGATGAAAATTTTTTTCTGATATTAAAACATAGACCTCTGACTTGTGCTTACACTACTGTAGTAAATGATAGTCATTCTGCTCAAATACAGAAAACCTGTTTTGCTGTGTTCTAGACTAATCTAGACTGTATTTCTGACCCCTTTTTGCACTTATTGGCAAATCTTAACCACCATTTGAAATTCAGAATTTTGGTCATCTTTGGTTTCCCTTTAGTCTTTAGAGGCTGCCTCTACAGCAGAGGACTTTTGACTGACTGCAAAAGCCTACATAAGAGATTAAGGAGGACTTCAGGGAAGGAGTCCTCTATCTTGTAGAGACACTGTCAAGTTGCTTTTTTTGTATGATTCGGGAAAGGTATCGCCATCTCCCTTGTTAAATTGATAAAGGAAGTGAATGCCAACATTTTCAGTTGTGCTGAATTTACAAAGCAAGATTAGGTGTTACAGAGGACAAGTGACCACCCTTTGTACCTCTCCTGACTGTGTGATGATGGACATTCATTCTTTCCCTTGAATGTAGTAGGGGCCAAAGTGAACAACCTGTCTCCTTTGCAGCCTTTGCTTTTATGTCTATAAGGTTGTGATTTTATTGCTTTTACACTTTTTTTTAAAAGGTAAAACTCTTGCCTACTGCATCCCTGTAGTTCAGTCCCTCCAAGCAATGAAATTAAAAATACAGGTGAGTATAAAATGTGTTTTTCTGTTACTATTCATTGTATACATGCAGTCATCAGACTGAACCATAGCAGTAATATTGGAGCTGAAAGACTTGGTTTTCACTTAGTATTACCTCCTTTTAATTTATCCCATATACAGGTTGTATCTAACACTGTGTCCAGATTAGAATAGAATAAACATTTTATAATCATGATAATAGATGTGTTTGGTAACATTTCTAAAATGCTCCCAATGTGTCATGCCACATGCTTTTTGTATAGTATCTATACCACCGGCCCAGCTGTAGGGAGCTCTGGTGGCCTAGTAGTAAGGAGCTGATTTGTATGAAACACAATGTGAATGAAGAATAGGGTGAAAGACAATGTATACAAACTTTCTAAGCAAACCAATTTAAAAAACCCAACAAACTGTTTACAGCCCTAAAAACCAATGAAGGGTTGCTATGAGTTAAAATTGGCGCACAAACAGTAGATATTTTAATGGGGTCTTGTTTATGTCATTCTGCAGTGCTTCACATTTATTAAATATGAAAATCCATGCAATGTAAAAAAGATTATGAGTCATATTTTTTTAAATTATAGGCACATTATTTACATGGGCACATTTGTGGGAAAACATAATAACTGCTGCAATCATGTATTGAGTAATTATAAAAGTGAATTTCCTTTACAGTTCTATTTGGTTCAGAGAGTAGATTCCTCAATGCTGTGATTTGATGGCAGAGGCTATTTATGGGTATCTATGTAGAAGGAGCTCTGCTGGTATCTTGGATCATGTTGAATTGCTAACCTGTAGGTCAGCAGTTCGAATCCACGAGCTACTCTACAAGCTAAAGATGGACATCATACACCCATAAAAATAGTCAGCCTTGAAACCTATTTGGAGGGTTACCATGAGTTGGAATTGACTCAGTGGCACTGGGTTTGATTTTGGGTTTTGTGTTAAATAGGGAACAAGTCTCTCTCTTTTCCACCGTACATAGATAGCATGGCACCTCATACAACATAGTTAGTCAATAAATGCCTAAAAATTATTCAATCTGGAGCTATCCAGTAATGCTCTCGTCTTAAGCCTTTAATCTTGGGACTCATATGAACGTTTAATTCCAACTTTCTATCCTAATTTCTCTATCCTATTTTCTTCTGACTAGAAAGGCTGAAAATCGTATTTAAAACAATAGTTTGCCCTGATTATAGGTACAAACACACACAAGCACTTCATTAGTGAGCTTGATAGTTGGGCTGTTATACTAAACATTTATCTTTTTTGTTGTTGTTGTTGTGTATCATCAAATTGGAACCAACCCATAGCTAACCCTCCAGCAAGTTTTCAGAAACAGTAAAGCACACAGAAGGTGATTGCCCATCTTTCTCTAGCAAAGCAGCTGGTGAATTCAAACCACATACATTTGGGTTGGCAGCATAATTCATTACTACTAAGCCAGTAGAGCTCCCTAGAATTTATCTTTAGCTTTGAATAATCTTAGTTGTGCATATAGATCAAAGAGGCCAAAATTGGATTTCTTAGGAATTTGCCACATTCCTTGGGTTTAGGCTTTATGTCAGACCCCAGCAAACAGTCCCATGAAGAGCTTTAGTTATTTTCAGTTGAGTGGAAATGGCGAGAGCAGAAATAGGAAATAAAGTACATGCATAAAGCAGATGAGAGGAGCTCACTAATTTTTTCTTAGTTTGGGTGTCTAGACTAGAAGTATAGCAGGTTTACTTGCTATCTGTGTGACAGGTAACGATAAACCCAAAGACTCAACCCACATGGCATTGAATCATTTCCAATTCTCATGTGTTCATAGGGTTCTTATTGACTGTGATCCTATGGAAGTAGATTCATAGGCCTTCTTCCAAGGTGCCTCTGGCTGGATTCAAACTGCCAAGCTTTTGATTAATGTTTAGCCATAATTCATAGACCAAAACAAATATCCGTAAATCCAAAGTGCATGAATAAGGAACTGAATAAATAAATGGAGAAAAAGGAAGAGCCCTTCTTTTTTAAAAAAATTTTTTTATTTTATTTTTTTAATAATTTTAATGAACATTTAGAGAGAATTTGGATTTCCATTCATTCATTGCTGCACTTCTCTACCCGCCCAGCCCTCTCCCCCCCCCCCCCAGTTCGCTCCTGTCTTTCAAAAGTAAAAGAAAGACTCACTCCCTGGTACACAATCCCCCCACATCCCTCCCACCGCCCCCAGTACATTCCACTATGCAACTTTAGGAAAAGCCCTTCTTATACTAGAATACCAATTATTAAGTGCAGAAGGAGTGATGGAAATAGAAAAATTATCATTTGGCAAATGCCAAAGTAATTAGTACATTCAAGAAAGTATGATGAAAAACAAAATTATATATAGCGTCGAAATATTTCCCCACAAATTACTTTTTAATTAAAAAGGAGAAAACAGTAACAGTATCATGAGAAATCCTGGTTATCACTACTATAACCAAGTGGTGCAGGTTAGCATCACCCAAACTGAGATGTGTCGGTATCACGTGCCTTCTCAGATATGATGATGCACTCAGACAGGTACAGCATCATTTATAGTTGTATTCTACCAAAAATGCAGGACCTGAACTTAACCATAGGAGATTCAAATCAAAGAACATTCTTCAAAGTTAACTAATTAGTGGTTTGGTTTTTTTCTTGTATACTTACCTGTTTGGGGTTGAGGGGTTTTTAAATATTTCATTTATTGTTCTTTTCTGAGTGACATTTTATAAATCTTGATGGGATTTCATTCGATCAGTGCTTGCTTTCAACAGCAAACTGAAATTGTGTACCAAGTTAAAGGAGACTGAAGAGACATGAGGAGCCTTGGTGATGTAGTTTGCAATGGTACATTATTCTTGAGTGTCTTAATTGAGGGAATGGCTGTTGAATAATTAGTTGAGGGAATTTAAATGTGCTCAGGTGTGGTTTAAATGTGATGTATGAATGAGCATTCCATTGTTAATGTACCGTTGAGTCAGAACTGATACTTGCCTGACTCTCCAGTGATTTTTTTAGAGACTATAAATCACCTGGGAAGGAATAACCCATCTCTTTCTTTCAGAGCAGCTGATGGAGTCAAACCTCACACCTTTGGGTTGGCAGCACATCTCCCCTATCCACTAGGCTAATGAAGAGCTCCCTATGTAGTCCATTGTTATTGTTGTCATTGTCATGTACCATGAAGTTGGTATCAACCCAACTCATAACTGACCCTCCAGCAGATTTTTAAAAGCAGTAAATCACACAAAAGATTGCCCATCTTTCTTCTTCGGAGCTGTTGGTAGTACCTAGGAAAAGAAGAACAAGAGTAAATTATTATAATAATACAGTAAAACAACTGCATTCACTGATGTCTCCAGGAGAACCTTTTGTTAGTAGAGGATCTTTCTGCATACAAAGTTGAACAATTTGGAACTTTTACAGTGCAGTCAGTCTTCATTCCATAAACCTGTGAAGTAGAGAAATTAGATGGCATCCCTACACTCTGGTGGCTTAGTGGACAGGCAGTTCAAATCCACCAATTGCTCCGCCAGAGAAAGATGGTTAGTCTCTTCCCATGCAGTTAACAGCCTTTGAGAACCCACTGGAGGATCAGCTAAGTTGGTTCTGACTCAAAGGCAATGAATGAAGGATCTAAACAGGCATTATACTTGATGGTTCTGTTTAAGCCTTGGTTCTCTTGGTTTACTTTAGTTAAGTAATTTTGTCCCTGTGTCTTGGTGTCTTCACTTGTGTGAGGAGGTAATAGCTGTACCTATCTTCTAGAGTAGCAATGAAGATTAAGTGAGTTAATATATTGGAAGTGTTGAGAATTATTTAATTCACATAAAAAATTAAAATCTTTTGCATCGAGTTAATTCCAGGTGTCAGGGAACCTGTAAGACAGAGAAATGTCTTAAAGGCTTTCCAAGACTAATCTTCACGGAAACTGACTGCCACATCTTTCTCACATGGAACAGCTAGTGGGTTTGAACTGTTTACTTTTTGATTAACAGACGAGTGCTTAACCACTATGCCAGTAGGGCATCTTAGCTGGTAACTAGTACCTGATAATGCTGAGTACCCTGTATTAGTTGTCATTATAAAAAACAAGGTCCCATGGCTAGTTTAAAGTCCAGTGCTTTGATTTGCTTCTATTTAGAACCATTAATTCATTTGCTCTGAGTTTTTCCTTTTGAATGTTAGTGACAGCTCACTCTATGAAAGACAATGTATGCCACGTAAACACAGGCCCTGATTTAATTCCTATTTCAAGTAATATTCAGTATAATTCCTTGGAGCTCATTATAAAATGATTTGACCTGTAAAAACCGTATCAGGAGAGAGCAACAAATTCAAGGCACCCAACAGATTTTGAAATTACTTTGGTGATGGGATAAGAATGGACTGCTTTTCTGTTTTCACTCTTTCCGTTATTTTGGCTCTGATTTTTCTAACATCACATCTATTCTTCCTTACTCACATCTGCCCTGCGAGGAATTGATTTTCCTTTCTTCTTCTCTGTGTAGTAACACCTTTTGAAATGTCAGAATCTCCTAACGTCATACTGTTGTACTAACGTGTTTACTGTTCCTCGCCTAGGCTTCTGTACCGTCTCACAAAGTTGATGTTGAGTACAGAGAATTCTAGTTTGAATTCCAAATCCTTTCCTCCATGTGGGTAAATGTTCCCTGTGCAAAACATGAAAACCATCCTTGTAATTGGATTGTTGTTAACTCTGAGCTGAGCTTCTACATTAACATTGTTTCAATTCATTCAATGTGTATGTGTGTGTGTGTATGTGTGAACACTTTTAATGTATAGGGCACCACTACCATAGGTATCTATAACAGACCACTTAGTAATTTTTATGACTATTTTTATTCTTTTTAAATATGGTGCACATGTTAATAAAATTAGAGAAGCACAAAATACTTACTCTACATGGGTGATTTTCTATTCTGGCTTTCCCCCTAGTGACATACCTCTCCCAAGATGCAGTATCATTGTTACCAGTCTATTGTTTGTTGTATTGCTCTGCATTGCAAGCAGATATAACTAACTATTCATGTTTTCCTTCACTCCTGTTATTTGGAAGGTGTTTTGGGGGCCTTTTCTCATTCTGTTTTGCTTTATTTGATTTGATATATAAATGTCTGCTTATTATGCTTGATGTTCTTCATCTTGTTTTAGTTCACTTAATACTTCGGGAATGATTTGTTATTGGTACCATATAGAGCTGCCTTAGCCTTTTTGATAGCTGCTTAGTGTTCCATTGTGTATATGGTGGTTGTTAGGTGATATTGAGTTGGAACCAACTAGCAGCTGATCCTTCAAGTTTTCATTTCATCACCCAGGAAGAGATTGTCCACCCTTCTCCTGTGGAGTAGCTGGGATTCGAACCATGTGCCTTTAGGACTGTAGCACGGCTTCTTACCACTATTGAAACATTTGTTTAATGGCAAGATTTAAATTATGTTTAATATGTTTTAGAAATAAAACTGTTATTAGTAGTCAACAGTCTGTAAAATATAATTTCATTTCTCATATAGGAGTATATGGGAGAAATTCTTATAAGCAGAATTTGCTTTTTATTTTGGTAGATAATAATGCCAAATTGAAACCAGAGGTTTTATATGAATTGTATTTTTGACAGTATAGTGAAGGGCCTGTTTTTCCGTTCTCCTGTCAATCCATTATTTTATTTTTGCAAATTTGAAAACCAAACACTATCAACCTATGGTTTTAATTTTACTTTCTCTTAAGAAGTAACATTGAGCATATTTTCATATGTACAAGCCAGATTTTGAGTTTTTATTTCAGTGAATTAGCTGTGTGTGCCTTTCATTTTTCTATTAATTTTTTTCCTCCTCAATGATTTATGGAACTTAATTATCAATTTTAAAAAGTAGTCTTTATTCTTATGTGTGATGTATTTTCCCCCTACATTGTTATTTGGTTTTTATATAAGGTGATTTTAAATGGTTTTATAATAAAGCTTAGCAGGATTTTCTTTTCATTTTGTTTTCCCAAGGGAAAGAAATACCCTTGTGTTATTTTTTAACTTTCTCTGTGTGTTGCAGTTTATTCTTAGTGACTTGTTTATATTAGTGTATTTCTATTGCTTATTTCTATTAGCATCAGTTTTTTAAATTGCTATTACTTTAAATTGTTTTAGCATCTGAAAGGGCCAACATTCCTACATTTATCTTTTTTCCAGAAACGTCTTGGTTATTCTTTTATAACATTACATATGTGTATGTTTGTGACATTATTATTAAATTTATAAATTTTATTTCTTCATTAATGTTCGTAAAATTGGCTTACTAGTATGTATAATAAACATTGTCTTTTCATAAAAAAATAAGACATCTGTCCATTATTCTGATATTATTTTAAGTTCTTAGTGTATTTAAATTTTTTTATATGTATTTTATCCATTTTTTGTTAAGCTTAATCTTTACTGCTATTGTGAGTTTTCCTTCCCCTTACATTTTATTTTCTAACTTCCTTTTTGAAAGGTTATTGATTATCTTAATATCAATTTTGCATTTAGCTACCTGCCTGAATTAGTTGTAACAGATTTTTGGTTGATTTTGTTAAAAGTTTTCTTTTAGGATAAATATCATTAATTGCTAAACTTTTTCACAGTGCCACCTTTCAAATTTTATGAACCATACTTCTTTCTCTTGTCTGGTTGCATTGGCCAGAACCTCCAGAACAATGTGGCATAATAAATGGAGGGAGCTGGTATCCTTGTCTTCTTCCTTTCTTTAATGAGAATGCCTCTAATGTTTGACATCCAGCCCCTCTTAAGTTCTTTCCATCTCGAGTCGTGTGATATTTGTGCCTTCTGCTCATGATGTTTCTTTCCTTTGTCAACAGCGCAGTGACGGTCCTTATGCTCTGGTACTAGTGCCAACAAGAGAGGTAAGCCGTCAAGTTTTAATAAGCACATTAATGATATTCTTTAGTTAATGATACTCTTTTTCCCTCCATATTACACAAATCACTGCACTCTCCTTTCTCCAGTAACTGTTCTCAGTTTCCTATCAAGGAGAAAAATTCAAATACTCTAGAAACTATGAAAAAAAAACACATTTCTTTATTGTCTAAAAGCACTACAGATTTCTCTCTCTTTAAAAGAATGGTAGGTTCTGTAATATTTTTTCATAACTTAATTTAAAAATGAAAGCAGTTACTTTTGAAAAGCTGGTTGTAAATTTTTTTAAGAAGCGAATTCTACCAAAAGTTTTACTTGTCCTTGAAAGTTAAGTGCCTTTGTGTATGTCTTCTGATTGGAGAGGTGGTTTCAGATTAAGGTGCCTGATTTCTATATCAAATGCTAAACACTTCCTTCCTGAGAATTGATCATGGAGCTGGAGGGTCCAGCTTAGCCTTTGATACAGCCTGTAGTACCCTGTCTCTGCTGAGTCCACGAAGAAGCAAGCATGGAAGCTATTTAAATTTTTACAGCAGCAAACTTGCTACTTCCCTAGGATGCTTCATGAATACTAAGCATGTAAGAACATATATATTCTTAGATAAAGGGGTTCTGCAAAGGCTTTTTGGTGATAGTTAATACCCTGTATTAGTTTTCACTCTTGCTGGTTTTGTCTGGGCATGGTGGTTTTGGTTTTGGTTTTTTATAAACTTGAGAAATGACTATCTCTCAGTCTTCAGAGATTGTTTCAATCTGGAATATTCTTAGGATGTTAACATATAACCATTAAAGCTAAGTTCTTAAAGGCTAGTCTGTTGCATTGTTGGTTTAATATCTCTCTTTATAGGTATATTCTTTCTCTTTTTAAAGAGAGCCAAAACCAGGTTGACTTTGTTTTCTTTTTCTCCCATTTTTTTTTGCGCATCATAAACTCGGCACTTTTCTGTTTGGCACTTTGGGAATTTGAGCCAGCAGAGGGAGCACAAAACACTATTTTTGCGTGTGCCCAAGAAAAGATGTGTTACCGTTCCCTCGTTTTTCCGAATTGACAGATTTGGGGACTAGATTAAGAGCATTATATATTTCAGAGTAGACTCTGTATGTAGAA